TGAAATAGGTAGAAGTTGTATGCATCTGCAGATGCCACAGACTATGAATGGCATATGACCCACTAACACAGCAGCTGAAGCAACAGGAACATATCAAGAGATTATTGATAAACAATAATGGAAAAAAGATTGATCCTCCAAATATATTGCTTAGGAGAGAGTTTTTCCCTCCTTTTTAAAAGAAGGGTATGGATCCAATGAAGTTTTCAACAGATGCTTTTGTGCTTTCCTACAACACTGTAACTTTACATGAAATTTGATTAAAAAAGGATAATATTTTTTGCAGCATATAATACAGAAAAGCTGAATGCTGATTTGACATCCATAAGCAATTACAGGAGCTAGACATACATAAGAGTGCCAAGATACAAGAAGTGTTATGGAGACCTTCTAATCCATGGGCTACACTTATTTCCTGGCACTAGCCAGAAAACAGCAATCACTGTCACAAGCTCACAATCGTAAGCTCCCAGTCTGAGACAAACCACATCATAAAGGATTATCAGAAAAGCAAACAAAACACATCATATGGGTCTAGTATGGACATGTGATAAGAAAATTAAAGATGGGAGACATGAAGAATTTTTTTTTTTTTCTAATTACTGTTTACTTATTAAGAGTTAGCACACATGAGCTACATCTTATTCTTTCCACCCCTCAGAAAAGAAAAATTAGAAGAAAGAAAAATAAAACTGCTACCTATCTGCTGTGGAAGCCAAGCAAAAAATTATGGCTATCTGCCTGAACGTGGATATGCAAAAAAAGAAAGAGAAGTAAACTCTTGAACAATAATTTCAAAAGCTGTCAAAAAGGCTGGAATATAAAAAATCTACATAATCAAGCTCAGAAAAAGAACAACACTGGCTCAGGGCAAGAGTGTTATCTCCTTTGATAAAAAAACAGTAATGGATTTCTTTTTAACTTGGTTGCAACTTATAAAGCAACTTTCTTTTTGAAAAAGTATGACTAAAGTGATTTAAATTAAATATGAAGTTTTTAAAATAGAGTACTTACTTGGTGTGCCATGTAATCATCAATATTGATATTTCTCTTGATGAGAATAAGATGTGTCCATATGTTTATTCAATGTAGGAAAACAGTAATTTAATAAAAATAAAAAACGATGGTCATTGCTCAGGGTAAAGAATTGTCTAATTCCTCATAATTGTTAATTATTCAGCCTTCTGACACCTTGGCAAGTTTACACATTTGGCTCACATCATATTTACATCAATAAAACAAAAATACTGATATTTAGATGATACACAAGTAAAAGATGTGTCAAGCAAATGTGCTGTCAGAGTTCATCCACCAGAAGTAAAGTGAGCTCTTCCTTGTAGATTGTTAGCTAAAAGGATGGACTGCTGATGAAAGGTTGCCTTAAGATCAGCCTTCTGGAGCATGTAGGTTGGAATTCTCCAAAGTCCACATGAAAGATGTGAAGATATCACTAAATACCAGGCTCATACTTTGCGAAACATCTGTTGGCCAGACCTTTCATGTCATCTGGGATAGCCTGTTTGACATCGTGCAGTCAAATAGACACAAAACACTACTGCCATCAATTGCCTCTGAATGGCTTTGGCAATGTATGGGAGCTCATATGAATACAGGAAGGTATCAGCAATGGTTCAGATGAAATGACGAGCATTCACGCTGTTGATAGAAAGATAAAGCCCAATCTCATGCAATGCATTTTTCATGTGATATGTCTCCTATTGTTCAATAGGCATAAATGAAGATTTTTGTCAAAGATTAGTGTTTTCCTCATACTGTTTCACAACCTCACCTTCCATGGAACACTGGGTACACTGAATTTATAATGAAGATATTACACATTTTTTTGTGAAGACTGAAGCCTAATGACTTATTGCACTGCGATATTTACAAATAATTTAGAAAGGTGCTTGCACAGTAGTGATTTTGTAGAATGTTAGATAACACCAAATAAAATCATGACTGAAACCTACATAAGAGTATAAGAAAAACCTAAACCACCACAACACAAAATACCGAAGTATTCAAAAAGTTTTTAGACAAGATTTAAGACATTTGTATCAATTTCCAACAGGGAAAGGTTTTTCTGCTCTTCTTTTTCATTTCACTCACCCTATACAACACTGAAATCTGCAGTACAAAATGGTATCCAAATATTTTTCTCTTCCTCCAAACCCCAACATATGGGATCTCTTAGCCCAGCAATATGTACTCCTCCCTACACACTTGTTTGAGACACAACAGATAGCCACTGATACCATGTGTCACTACTTTGCTCTGCTTCACCACTTTACTATAAAACACTGAGACCAGAAAGGAAGGAATAGGAAGTATAGACTGTTCCAAGTTTCTGCTGCTTGTTTCTCCGAAAGATGGAAGTCCACATGATTTGATATTAGCCAACTGCAGAGAATGAAACAGCTACAGACACTGAGTAACTAGTCTGGGCTAGACAGAGCAGATGCCTACACTATATGCCTAGTATAGTTATGCTACACATTTCTCAAAATCAACTTTTAAGCACAGCACAATATATACATTCGGAAGAAAAAAGAAAAAATATAAATATTGCAGGGTATAATTCTAGTTACAGTCATCTATGCTAAACATTGAAATATTCACTCACTGAGAAAAAAATATCCTTCACAGACATATACACTGTAAATTTATCATATACACTGCTCTGTAGAAAACAGATGTTGTTATATTTTTCATCACAAGAAGCTAAGGGCTTGAGTAACTTATTTGACATCAGTCCGCAGTTCAGCCTTTGAGCCTGCTGTGCAAATTTAAATGTCAGCTTATAGTTCACCTGTTATCATCTCAATGCAAACACTTCCTGAGAATTTCTCCATAAATCCATGTTTTATTTCATTACTGATAAACTCAATAATAATTTGGGGAAAAAAAAAAAAAAGGAATAAATGTGTGGCAACAGTAAAGGGTGATACAGTACAAATCTCTCTGAAATCAGCTGGGCTTCTTTCTCCTGCCTTCTCCATCCCTTCCTTTTCTCCCCGACCTCAGGAACACCTGCCCAAATGCAATTGTCTTGTTGACAGAAAGATGGAATTGTCTGTGTAGTTTTCAGTTAAGCAAGTAAAAAACCCCAAAACCAAACATGACAGGGTTATTTGGGCCAGAGAGAAACAAGAATGGCTCAACTGAATTACTGTGTGTAAAACTCTGGCCTACTGGCTGAGTAATTCAAAACAGGATATTTTCCTTCCATCGTATACGAAGAGCTACTTCCTTCCTGTGTGAAGAAATAAAACCTTCAACGTTCTGTTTTTTATTATTTTAGAAAGAAGCCAGGGATCAGAGAACATCAACTAATGAAACTGTTTTGTATATGTATTTCAAATTAAAATAAAAAAGTCCTAACATTTAAGCCAGATCTCTATGTTTACACACACACGTTTCCCGTCTACCAAATGATTCTTGGAACTTCTGCCTGAAACTTTTTGTGTGCTCTTAAATAAAGCAGCAATTCTGAAAATGTACCTTAAAATAGCTGCAAAAAAGGAGAAGAAAAAAATAAAGTTACCTCAAGTCATCAACTCATTGGCAATAATTTCATAGAAAGCCCAACTATTTTCTATGGGGAGGAGTTGGTAAAAGAAGCCTGGTAGCAGATGACCACAGACTGATCAACTGTAAACTGCACTGCACCAACTAACAGCATACTTGGTTTCATAACTCCACAATCCATACAAACATTTAATTATAAATGGGACCTACTCCTGCCAGTAGCAGGACTATTGCATCAACCTCCTCTGCAACCTTACAGTGAAATATTGATAAATGGCTCTTGCAAAGACACAGCACCTGAATAAGCACATTCAGAGACAAGGGTTCATGAAAAAAAAATTAGTTATATCCCCTTAGGTCTCAAAAGGCCACATTGCTATTAGTTTTCTTTGCTTTACCTGAAACCATTACAAAAAAAAAAAAAAAAAAAAAAAAAAAAAAAAAAAAAAAAAAAGGCAGCCAATGAATGTGAACAATTAGAGAAAGCAGTTCTCCAGAAAAGTACATAGGTGACTCATCAACAGCTGCCTTACTGAATAATATGCATACTGTGTCTAGAACTTCTCATATAGACTGTCTTTTGAGGCTATAAAGAAAATATTTCTTTAAAGATTCTTTTTCTTGTTTACTGAACAGCAATATTGATCCCACAGACATTTTTTATTTTTACCCAAGTATAGCTAAATTTAGTTTTGAATGTTATGTTATTCCTCAAATTCCTCTGAAGCCCACTTTTAACTCTCTTAGAATGGATGCTTCTCATCCAATTTCAATCCTTCTGAAACTGAAAAAGCATTTCTAACTATATGAATTGTAATAATAACTAGTAACAATTTCTGGTTATTTGCCATAATGGAGCTGCTAAGTGTGAGGTTTGTTTTGTTTTGTTGTTTTTTTTTCTGATTTAACTATATTTCTCTTCATAATTTACTACTGTCTTTAAACCTCTGATCTTTTTAGCACACTACACATAAGATAATAAGCCTGCTTCACCTTTTGCTTTGGGGATATGTTCTTTTTACTGGAATATAGCTGACATTCAGTGTTGCAGTTATTTTCTAAATTGAACTCATTCTATCAAGAAAATGAAACACATACACATTAAAATATTACTGAAATTATAATTTGTTACTGAAGTACTAAAAAGATAAATATTTAGGAACAAAAGAACTATTCCCTTAATCTCATTTGATTGCCCTTCAGCTGTAAAAATATAAGGTATCCTACAGTAGGTGTGACATTAAAGCAGAGTAAGTACCAGAGCATCTCAAAGAGCAGGAAGCAGTTAATCCAAGACAAAAACATTTAAATCAGCTATAAATAAGAAATGCTTCTTTATTTCTGGACATCCAATGTGTTAATTCTAGCCTTGGTAGTGCTTTCCATTTTTTTTTTTTTTTTTTTTTATTTCCAACACCTACATGATTGCTTAAGAAGAATAGTGAAGACTTTATGCTAATTAGTGTGCTTACTTCAGAATATGTGAAAGCATCCACATTAATTTCTTCATATTCATCTTCCACTTCATCACTTTTAACATCTGCAAGAGCACTGGCCAGTTTCTTTCGTAAAAGAAAACCCTTCCAAAATGCCTAAACAAAAAATTTAAAGCATGTTATACATAGCCATAGATCAAACCCAAATCCAGATTCTCTATGTTATCCCATTAGGAAGATAAAACATCTTGGCCCTTTGTTTAATAGCTCAATGATCTGTTTTTTGAACTTTATGTGACATTTAAAACTACAAGACAAATTAAATGCCAACATATGTCTAAAGCTTAGAGTACTCAAGAGGCTCTCCACAAGTAAGCAGAAAGGAATCCTGCAACTCCCTCAACTACAAACCTGGGTCAACTAATTAATTATATGACAATTCCTTCAGGGACTATTAAAAACTGAAAGGAAAGCCTACAAAAGAAAAACGTGAGTGCCAACTTTCAAATTACTGAGAATAAAAATACAGATGTACTAAATGTCCTATGGTTTGCTATGGTTTACAAGTAGCAATTCTTGGAGACATCCCATGTAATTGACCTAAGTCAGTTACTCTCTCTTAACTAAGATCTTTACTTAAAAAAATATTACCAGTAAGCATAATCATCTCTAAGAAAAAGGAGCACATTAGGAATTAGAGTGCTAGAAAACTAGGAAAGGTGTTAGGAACACATGACAAGCATAGAATCATGTCCAGCAAAAACACTTCAGAGATCACAATGAGATAGATGGAATTAAGAAAACTCCATACAAGATGGCAACTTCCCCCCAAATCAGTATTGACAGCATTAGAATTCAAGATGCTCCAAGTGTTTAAAACATCACGCAAAATATTCTCACTGTCATGAAAGAAGTGGTGTTGTATACCTTTAATGGCTCTGCAATAAAGGCACTAAAATAGGAAGGGTAAATCTCATATTCTGGCTTAACCTGTAGATAATTAAGTTTTAGAAAAAGTTTGTCTGACCACATAAATTATTGAAAATGTTACTATTTTACACACATATTTCCTGATTATTATAAAATTATTAAAAGTTTTAGAACTGCTTCCTTACAATATCATTGTCACTATTTTTCTACAGACCTTTATAAGCATCCAGATAAAATATCTGGATATTACTGAGTGATCAAATGGCAAATATATTTCATTCAACAAAGGCAATTATCTTTTACAGATTCAAAGGAGAAAAGCAATCCTAATGATATATGCAGAAAGCTAAACTGTGAGGCAGCTGCTAACAGCGATTTATAAAAGCACCAGGTCAGTGTTCAGTCATGATCAAAGAGAAAAATTACATATAGTAGTTTTTAAGAAACGAAATAAAAACTTTCTTACTGAACAAATTCATTGTATTTCTGCATATGGAATTCAATTCTTGTTGCTTCTTTAAAAAATATTGTAACAGAGTGTGGCAAAGGTTCAGAGAGGAACAAAAAGATAAAAGAATTACAGAGAAATGTGAAAAGAGACTAAACAGAACTAAAATTTTATTTACAAAAGGTGGATGTAAGGATGCATGTATGAGAGATTTAAGAATCTGTAATATGCACAGAAGATAAATAATAGATCACTTTTATTTTCATACTCTCTGGTAATTAGCATGTTTGAAACAAATGAAAGAAAGCACATACTAATCACTATACAGATTTGTTAAATGCACTACTTTTATATATAGTAGAGGTAAAATACATAAGTTCAAAAATAGATTAAGTTTATGGAAAACAATTGCTAATATGCTAGCTACACATGATACTCCAATAAAAAATTTTTGCTTCTAAATCACTGTGTCACTTTTGAAATTTGTATGCAAGACTTACTCTATGGAATGTTTCCAACTAACCTTGAAATATGGAATTGACAGAGTTGACTTGCTTCAACATGTAGGAAATAACCTCATGAACCTTGTCAACTTGAGTCAAGGTTTGGACTTCAACTCTTGTCCATAGTAACCCATTCTGTTTAACTGTTATTAGCTCAGTATCTACCACAGAACAACCTAGGCCATGGTCTATTCCCACGGACAGTATGGATAAAGCAATCTTGGGTTTTGGAGATGGAAGAGAAAGAAAGAAATTGGATAGGTAGGATAGAAGAGACAGGAAGATTATTTAGTCACATAGGTAACAGAAACAACATGAGTTGCACAGTACCCATCAGTTTTATAGCATACACAGGCCCCCATAAGAACATGGGCACAGTATCTCTTACACATAATATTAGAATTATATAAAATAAAAATAATTCAGGGAAATACTTGGTGAAGAAAGGGAAAATATTTTTCCATAAAGGGAAAATATGTTTCCACAAAGCTTTTTGTAAAGAAGTATCTGTTTTTGAAACACCAAGGTTATGCTGGTTAAATAAAACAAAAAATATTTAATTATGAAAATTAATAATATAATAAGCAAAAATAGATAGAAGATGACAAATACACAAAATAGAATGATTTTTTTGTTGTTGTTGTACTTACAAAATAAGAAAATACCACAAACCAACCTGAATCACTGTGGCAGCTTCATGTTTCTGTCTTAAAGCTTCTACAAACTGATGATTCTCTGTTTTAGTGCAATCATTTTTCCTCTGAGCATGGTACTGCTGCCAAAAGGGCTGGATCAAGGATGCTCCCATATGTAGTCTCATGGAGAAATAAATACATTTATGACTCACATAGCCTCACCAATACAATTGGATTATCATATCTGCCAAACTTCAACCATAAAACATAGAACTGTGCTTTGAGACAAATGAAAAGTTGTGCTACTAAACAAGAAATTACAATCAAGATGTGATATATATGTTCACTGGAGGATATTCCCATTGCATAACTTCTGAATCCAATTACCTAAGAACTGATCTCCACAGGGCTCTATTCCATGAATAATCACAGTAGAGGAAGAGTCCTCAAGGAAGGATTAGGAGCAGAAGTTGTGTAAAAATGACTGAATAAACTATTGGAAGGGTCTACTTATTTCCACTGACTATATAAACAAAAAAGAAAAAAAAAAAAAAAAAAAAAGGAAAGACCCAAAAAACCCCAAACCACCAATCCACAAAAAAATAATCCAACCAACCAAAAAACAATACAAACAAGCAAAACAAACAAACAACCCCCGCCAAAAAAAACCAAAAAATAAACAACAAGCACAAAAGAGGGATAAAAACTGAAAAAAAAACCCCTACTTAGATCTGTTCAGTGATTCTGATTGCTAAATATATGTCCAACTAATTCATAATGATGGAAAAAAAGTCTAATGTCAGCTCTGCATTATGACTTTACTATCTTTACTATCTTGGAATTCTTTTCTCCACAAAATACTCATCTCAGTTGGATAGTGTATTAAAGACATCTAAATTTCCAATCTTTACATAACTCCTTTCCTTGTGTAGTGTATCTATTTAAATAGAGGATTCCTAGTCAGCAAAAAGAAAAAAAAAAATCACGCTTCAGAGTTCAAGACAAATACAAAAAATGGTTTGCATTCTGTTTTGAAGAGAACTCTCAAAAAAAAAAAAAAACCCACTCACTGAATTAATTCAAAACATTAACAAAAAACTAAATGAATTATTTAAAAAAAAATTTTAAGTATTCATCTCATACAATACACTAATGTATTCTTGCTTTCAGCTTGCAGAGAAATGATAATGAATTGCATGGTCTTCCTTAATCATAAATTTTATAACAAACCATTAGTGTCTTAAGTACCTATTAAGTTGTTTCCTTTTTACCATAAGCATAAACAGTTCAAAGAAGCACACCCGCCATGCTTGCTTTTCATACTGTTCTCAAGATAGCTGTATTTTAATCTGAATTCTTATGAAATTTTAACTCAATTCTTGAGGATTTGCTACAAAAAATCAGATTCTGTTTCCCTTGTCTGTTTAAACGACACAAATCAGCAGCAAAGAGGTAATAAACCAGTTTGTTTCAAGAGAAAATCTGGGGACACATAAGTTGAACTGGCCTCTCACCCCTGCCTCTACTTTTAATAAACAGGTTAGGGCATGTTGGAGAAGTACCAAAAGCAACGAAGGCCATTAGCTGTTCAGTCATCACAACAGCAGAAGACTGGCCAAAATCAAGGGATTAGGACAGTAGATTTAAGCAATTTTTCCTCTTGCCTTCTAAACGGTACTGGTTGTAAAGTTTTCACAGATTAATCTTGAATGTCTAATGAATAATTTTGGCAAAAAACCTACACTAGTTTGTAGTTAATTTCCTCCAAAGTTTCTGCAAAACATTTGTCATTTGCATTCCTAACTCTGTATGTGTCATTGAACTGGTGTCTTAAAATTATTGTGAGTACATAAATATCTATATTGTAATATACCAAATGGGAGAATACCACAAAGGATTCTTAACTGTTAATATGGAAGTGTGCAACATATAAGTCTTTTTTGTCTAATACAACACTTTATTGTCTAATAAGCTTAAAAATATTACAAGTTCTGTGCCTCTGTTTTAAACAAAAAATCCTCACTCCTATTGCCTATCTATATAATTGATTTGAAAGAAACCTGACATCTGTCTTACCTCTCTGTATCATTCCCAAAGTGCTGGAGATTTCCTCCCATATCACCTGCTACTATCACTGACTGTTGCAATGTGAGTTGGCCTGACATGTTATTGTTGCCTTTGCTCTCCTCACTGTAATTAATACAAGATTCAGTGTTCTTCTGCTTCTCCCTCTGATCTCCTACATTTTCCTTCTGATGCACAGGTATAGAGGAGTTAATGAATGTGGCCTGAATATCACCAGTAGCAATCCATGTTTTGGAAGGATCCAACAAGACCTGTTTATTTTCTGTCACAGACATGATAAAGAGGTTATTTTCCTGTAGGCAGCCAGTGGATATTTGCTTTAAGTGATTTTGAAGTGCTTCTGGTCCATCTCTGTCAGTAATGTTTAGTTCACCATACTCATGCACATATCGATGTTTAATACTAAGTTTCATCAACTGATTAAAATACCAGCATTGTCCCAGTACAGAATCAATAGAAGAAGTAATTCTGAAAAAAAAAGGAAAAAAATTTCACGTTTGTTAGAATGCTTAAAAAAAAAATTCCCTCTATTATTTTCTAAAATAGCTTGTATTTTCAAGTATTATTACATGTTTCCATAGTCTTACAGCAAATACCAATTACTGTGATTGGAAATCCAGTTTCAGTAATTATGAATCTTAATAGATTTTATCTTTTTGTGAACATATTTAAACTATAATCACACATATTTCTTATTTTACTCTGAGTTTTCCTGAGAGAGAAAGTTTTCAGTCTTTTTAAAATAGCCATTACAGCATGCATTTCATTATAAACTTTCTGGGTTAGTGGCATAAGAAGCCCAAATTTTTGTAAAGTTTGAGGCAATTTTGTCTTAACAATCTAATCTTACCTGGCAACTATGAAAGCTCATATAAAAATAACAGTAATTCTAAAATTTAGATAAGAACTAAAGCAACAAAACCCAATTAGATTCAAACCAACAAACTACAATGTCTAAAGAAAATTCAGAAAGACAAACTTTTAAGTACAGATCTTTTTATCAACATAGGGGAATGTGCTAGACTGACCAACAGTAATCTATGAAGTCTGGCTCTCATTAGTTCTTTGTTACACTGTCTAAATTATGAGGATGAGAAAATATGAACTAATTGTTACAGATTCAGATGGCTGTCTGTACTTTGGATGGTGTTTGTTCATTTTATTAGGCAGCAGGTAATTCTGGGATCATGAAAACATTTTCCTTTAATAGTATAGATATATGCAGAGATCTGTAATCTGGTGTTAATTTCAGAGGAGTATGAAGTCAATTCTAGGCAAGCAAGCCAAGAGAAAAAGTAGAAATAAGATAAATTTTCTTGTTAGTCTGGAAAAATTAGGTCCTAAAATTATAGTTACAATAACAGAAATTTCCTTCTTGTTCATCATTCTGAAAAGGTGAATTTTTTATAAAGTTCTGGGGATTCTTTACCATTATAATTATATTCTCAGTGAAATTCAACTAAGAACATTTTAGATATTTAAGAACATAATCAATTAGACCCTATAAGAGTAAAAAGGATTCCAACTCTTCCACTGCTAGTGCAACTTCAGTGCTTTTGGACAAAATATGAATGTGTAAATTGATCCACACAGCTAAAGCACACAACTCACCGTGTACATTTGATTTTCCACTACAAAATATTAATAGTACTCCTGCTAATTCCAGTAATTAAAATATTACTACTACTCTTGTTAATTCTAAAAATATTTAAACCAATCTATAAATTTGTTTAAGGATCAAACATGCTACATAGAATAATTTCTTTAAAAGAAAATAATTAAAACATTTAAATTCTTTAGTTAAATATACTGAATTAGTTAAAGTATTTTAAAAAAGTCTGGTACAAGATCATTACCAAATTCCTACATAAAATAATATGGAGAGAAGACAGAAAAAAAAAAAAAAAAGGAAAAAATCTATTCCCACCTGTTTTTTTTCCTTTGCTTTATTTTGTTGATTTATTTATGAAAATTAAAATATTGCAGAAAACCCCTGAGTGTTTTATATATTGATCAAAAAAAATTCCTATGTAAACCATACCCTGAGTAACCTTGTTCATTGTCAAAAAAAACCCCAAAAAAAACCCAGAAAGAAAGAAAAACAAACCACTGTAACAGTGAATCCTCTCCTTTGACAGGTGCAGGGGTATCTCAAGAAGCTGTTACATCCTTCTAGTGGCTATGAGTATGTCAAGCAGAAATGGAGGGATTGAGGAAGTGAAAATTCAGGCAGGGAAAGATTTTGTGATCATCAGGGATAGTGTGTTAGTTTTTTTATAGAGGCTGGTTTTGGGCAGTTTTTCCAAGCAGTGGTTGCAAAATACTGTCTTGTCTCTGCCGGTATGTACCCTCTCCCATACCTTCCCTGGCAATCCACAACTATATTTTGGTTTTGCAGGATTTTTAGGCCGCCTTCTGTATCGGTAGTTTTTCCATTTAGCTTTTTCAGGCATATTAGTTTAAGTTAAAAGAAACTACAAAGGAAGCTGAAGATCCCAGAGACTGATGGGCATGGTGTGTTTGAGGTTCTCCTGCAAAACTAAAGCTCCAGCACACAGACACCAAAGGTCACCACAGGCCTGAGTACTAACTTGGTGGCAGTCAGCTTGGTGGTTCCCTTCAGTGAACAGGGATGTATCAACATCCTATCAACACCCTGCAAATTGCTCAGTGTCTCAATTGCACTGCACTCCTCTAGAGAAGTGTTCCTAAGATTGCTTATTCAAACCACAGCAAGGAAGCTGCTGTAATGGAAAATATGCAGGACTGGTTTACATCTTTAATGGTAAAAAAAAAAAAGATACAAGGAAAGCGATAAGACAAAGTAAAAAATATGACAATATTAAGACTTCTGATACAGAAGTATTTTCTTTTTAATTATTGTAAATTCATTGTTTGCCTTTCAGACCTTTCCCACTGCTATTGGTCACACTTAACCTGGAATTACTTCTTGGTTAAGATCTGCCCAAGGTTTTAAGCATAAATTGGCCATTGAGACAAAACAAGAAATGGAATTATCCTATGGAAGTATCAGTATCCATAGTGTCTGGCTGCTTAGTATGTGACAAAATATAGATAAATATGGTAGCCTTGCAATAGCAAGATTTTTATGGCTTTCAGCTTTGACCAGCACATTCCTTCATGTGCAGCTGCTGCCAGGCTTTATTTTGATCATAACAAGTGAAAGTGATTTATGCCATATACAAATTTTAGCATAACCACAAAGCATAACCACTGCTTTTGCAGTAGGAAAAAGGGGTAATAAGCCAAAAGAGCAAGGGTTGAATCTTGCAGTACTGTACAAGTGTGCTAAACTAGCAGCCCTGATACTAAAGACCAAGATATTATTTTCACCAAAAAAAACCTAAGAGAAAAAAGCTACTTGTAGCTCTTTTTTTTTTTTTTCCCAGATACCTCTTTATCTGTGGTAGTATTTTCCAGGGACCTTGATGAAAGATAAAAGCCCTATTTGGAAACTTAAGTCAGGCTTTTATTAAGGACTGTTACAGCTTCAGTCCTCACAACAATTCACGAAAAGTATCCATCACTGTCCTGGTTAATTCAGACCAAAACCTGCTCAATTCCCATGCAGTGTTTGGCAACAGAGGAGTAGAAGGGAAGGAATAAACCCCACTGGTAGCACCCAGGATGCATAAGGATCCATGCACAGGCTGACTTAACAGGTATAGAAAAGGACAAATTATTAATGCTTAAAGGCCTTCCAGTGATGTTTTAAATCAGCAAAAATGTTGTTACTTAAGAAATTTCAACTTGCAGCAGAGGCTTGCTTGTAGAGCTAATACATTTTGTATAGAATTTTCTACTGCAATTACACCTGCAATGGCTGCCTGGTTATTCAAAGAGCATAATTTTGTCAGAATAAGACAGTAAATCTGGAAAAGTCAGCAGAACGAATCTCTCAGAGGCAAAAAGGACAGGCTTGAGAAAAACAAGCCAGTTCTGATAAGGAATGGCAGTTTTCTCCTGGCCCTTGCAGTTAAATAATAATTAACATTCTACTGCTTCGTATGCTAGTGTGTGCCAGTTAAAACCTTGTTTAATGTAATGTTTTTTCCCTACTGTGACTTTCACAATTATAATACATGGAATATCCAAACAGTACACCTCAATTTATGTGAACTTTTGTTTGCAATAGGGTAAAATCTAATGTCTTCAGGGAAACGTCTATATGCATCATTACTGATGTTTGGCTGCAGTTTACCAAAGTCCCTTATAAACATGAAACAGGTCACTGTTGACATATTCTTCCCTTGCAAAACCATTTATGAAATTCCTGTAATTTTCACTGTTAAATACATACAGTATTTATAAAGTTTAAGTTCTACTAGCCAGACAACTGCACATCTGATGGCTGAAAACAAATTGCTGCAGCACAGGTATCATATTTTTGTACATGACTGCTTATTACAAGTCATCTAAACATTACGTGACAGAAAACATTTAGTATGATAGAAAAATTACATTTTAAAGTCAGTTTTATTCTTAAGCATGGCAACAACAGAGAAGTTTTGGGAAGAAACAGCACAGAGAATTTAACTGGGCAGCATTGGTGTATGAAACAGATTAGGGAAACAAGCAGTGATTACTTCTGGCAGCTTACATAGTTGAGGTCACACCTACAGGGGCTCATAACTTAGCAAGATGTGAAACAGATAGAAATTTGCTCTATTGTTGGCCTGTTGTTTAGCAATGTCACATTAATTCAGTCAAAGTATTGCAATATGTACATATAATAGCTATACCACTAAGGCTTATATATAAATATATATGAACTGCAGTTTGCAATGGTTTTCAAGTCATCCATAAATTTTACTTCAGTGAAAATAAAAGATAGATGGCTTTAGCACACAAGAAATTAATTTTAAGACCAAATTTGATACAAGATATTTCAATCATGTCACATTTAGGGATTTAAAAGAGCACAAATGAATTCTCAAAAGCTTAAAAAATCCACAACCCTCCCTCCTCTGCACTCCCCACCCTTCCTCCACCCAAACCATACATTCAGGAAAGAAGAGATGTTTACACAATCACCTCTTTCAACTACTGTTCTTCTCAAACATCTGCAGGCTCTTTCAAATATTTCTCTTTCAAAATTTACATAGAGTAATAGATTCTCAGTTGAAAGAACCTTCAGGTTCAGGTCTCTGGTTCAACCTTCTACTTCAAAGCTGCGTTAGCTCTCAAAGCAGACCAGGCTGCTCATGTTTTCATCCAGACAGGTCTTGGAAATCTCCAAGAACAAGACTGCACAACTACTATGGGCAGCCTGCTGCAATTCATCACTGTCCCACCCTGAAAAGGCTTTGCCTTGTCCAGTTGTACTGTCTCTGGCTGGAATGAATTCCCATTACAGTTGCCCATATAATGCTGTTTAGATTCGTGACCAAAACTGTATTGATAAAACACTAATGTTTTGCTGAACAGTGCTTGGACAGAGTCAAAGCCTTCTCTCTTCCACTCAGCAAATAGCCTGTGAGTGGGCAGAAGGCCTCCTTTCTTTACTTCCTTCCTAGGTGAAAACTGTGTACTTGCCCTTGTTGAATTTACAAGGTTCCCAGTGACCTGTCCTCCTATCTTGTCTGTGTCTGACTGGAAGCCCTCCCCTCAACAACTGCCTTTGAATACTTGTGGTCTGCAAGCGCAGTAAGTGAGCACTCCATCTCCTGTTCCCAGTCTTTGACAAAAGACATTAGAAATACAAGTCAGCTTCCAGAAAGTACTGTGAGCCACACACTTTTCATAATTAATGGATTGTCTGAGTATGATGACACAACACCTCTCTTATTTTATTTATGTCCACTCATATAGACTAAAAAAAATAAATTTTAGGAATATCATCTTTCCCTTTCATTTTTTACCATCCTGCAGAAAAGTATATGAAAGTTAGGTCCTTAGATTCTACTACAGTTTGCACACAAGTCATACCCTAATTATAAACTGGCTTTTTTTCTGTAAAAGGATAATGATGAAATGTCTAAATATCAGACACAGAAAAAATTTTCTCAATCATAGAAAAGGAGAGTTTTATTTTCTTTTATGAAAAAGGAAGGAGAGAACACCATTTCAGGATGTTAAACAGATTAGGAAGTATCAGCTTCCCACCTGCAAGCCAGAAGCCAAAAATCACAGAAGTGGAGGAGACATATCTGGATGGTTTAATGGAGAAACATATGACTTTTAGGAGCCACTTACACATTACATCTGTCATGGAAAAATGCACTATATAATTTCTCCCAACTAATTTCAATCTAATTCTTAATACAAACCTCTTTTCCAGTTAATCTGATTCTGAGCTATGAAGATTTTATAGCAGCTTAGTAAAAGCTGCAATAATACAATGTAATAAATTGCTAGCTAGTAACAAGATATCATGGATATACAGGCTTACATGCAAACACAAAATCAACAATTCAGAAAAAAAAAAAGTGCATACTTTTCCTGAACCAATAAGATATGCAAGGCAAAGTTTAAACTAAAATGACATAAAAGAACATGTGCTTTACCTGCTCTGGGCTAATGTTCAGTACCTAGCAGAATCAAGAAAACTACTTTTCCAAAAATTAAAACATAAGTTGGAAATTCAAAGGATCATAAGGATTTTGTGAATCTGCTAGGAAATTAAAAGGAACTATGAAACAAAAAACCATGCAATATTACCAACTGCAGAAATGAGAAGTTTGAGATACTTAGATATTACAAAAAATTAAAACATAGCATGTGTAAGTAATAAATTAACATCTGCATGGTCTAAACTGAAGTTACTGGACAACTAACCATGGAAAAAGTGATAAAGGTAGCAAGTATGAAAAAATTAAACACTTGTAAATAGATCCACTTAATTCACTACCTTAAGAGAAAAGAGGTAAAATCTTTTGCAATTATTTAGAATATGAATAACATACACATGGAAAACAAATGCAGAAATAAAAATAGAGCATATTGTATCAACAGCCAAATTAGACTTGATTAAGTTAAAGTTAGAAATCATGTTAATATGACTAGTCAACTCCCAGGAGTTAAGCTACAATGCCGATATAGCACTATTCATTCAACTACTACTAACTGCAGGTTTTGAGCCACCTGTTTTCTTGGACTTAAAGAAACAAAACTCAAGGCCCTCCTAACTTAATAACTGTCTAAAACAAACTTTGCTCCGAAGTCAATGATTCTAATCTCTTTCTTATCCTAATATTTTTCCAGGCAAAAAACCCTAAGTAAAATTCATATGCACACACAAACTTCAGTAACAATACATAAAAAATATTTCTGAATGCAATTTATATTCACATAAATACATACTCCAATTCAACAGCCTTTTTTTTCAGTTGAACATTTTCTTCAATTTGAACTTGACAAAGTTCCAGAAAAGTTCCTAATTCGGATGCTTTGCTTTCTTCAGTTGTGGATAAAGTATGATCGGTCAAGATTTCACCATTAAGTAACTGTAAACTAGGAAGGACCTCCAACATGGAAGACCTTAGGAAAAGAAAACATTAATTAGATTTTTGAAAAAATCCTTATACTAAAACACCTGTTTTATTTACAAAATCATATAACAAATACAAACATGAAGATAGTCCTCTAAAAGTCTGCATGTATTTGTCCTTATTTCATATGTTAACACATTAACTAAGAATTTAAACGAAAGAATAATATAAAGAGTAAAACACAGAACAGAGCAAGACTTCTTAACACTTCATTGGTATAAAGAACACTGCTGAAATACTGACACCAGGAAAGTCAATGGTACCAGTTTCAAATCACTAGAGCTAGAATTTTTACCTCAGGAAAATTTGCCATATTCATGCATAGGCACCTGTAATTAATTTGATAAGTAGACAACACAGCAAATTCATAGGATTAAGATAAAGTACTGATTTTGTTGACATGTCACAAAACTTAAATTTTAAAACTGCACAAAATATTAAACCTTGCTAATTCTACTCCTTTTATCAGTTGCATATCCCATATTTAGTGACATGCTATCTGGTATGCCTGACAGGAAAAAAAACATACTGAATTTAGGTCAGGGAAAGGAAAGAGAGCAAAGATGAAATTTCCTTGCTATAAAACAGACAGCTATGGCCACTGATGTAACAAAAAAAATATGTACAAGAAACTTACCTAACCAAAAAAAAAAAAAAAAAAAAAAAGTATATTGAGGTCTTCTTTATGTTACCGATATATGTAAGCTGGTAGTGCAATCTTGTTTCACATATATCTTGTACCAGACCAAAGTTGTTGAAAGTTTGAAGACTGCAAAATTATATCCACTTTCAATATTTTCCTTAACTCAGTTTTAAGTAACTCTTGAAAGAATACTAATTGTAAGCTGTAATAATATTCTTATAATAATCTTATAATAATAATCTTTAATAACATTATCTATTATTTATCTTCTGTGCATATTACAGATTCTGAAATCTCTCATACAACCATCCTTACATCCAGCTTTTGTAAATAAAATTTTAGTCAGTTTAGTCACTTTTCACATTTCTCTGTAATTCTCTAAAAAGATAGTATTGTTTTCAAAATTTTGGGTCTCCCTGACTATTCCCTTTGCAGGTAAAGGATTACTACTGAGCTCGGACAACATACAGTAAGTTTAAAATCAGAGAAAGTCTAAGTTTAAAAGCAGAGAAAGTTATAATATTCCAAATAACAGAATAGAACATCAGTTTTTGCAAATAGAAAACTTTCCTTCTCTACTGCCCATTAATGAAGGCTAAGACTATCTGAAGTTTGGAATAAAATTATGGGTTTAGATCAACAGTTCCTGAACGTGTAGAGAGAAATTACCAAAGCTGATCTTGAATAGCGATACAGCAAAACAGTGACATGTCGTTATAGGACATGAGAAAGCACAACGCGAGCCACTTGCTACTTTGCAAGGCAAAAGAGAAAGTTTATTTTCTGACTCCAACTTTTATACTTCTCCAAAGGTGATAGTGGATTGGAGAGTGAATGGGCTACCTCTCCGAAGACATTGGACAAAGCACTAGTACATCAAGTCTTTCTACTCCCATGGAGGAATGCAAAACAACACGTTATTTACAGAAACTGTGTGGGAAAGTTTCCCAATAGAATGTAAACTCAGAAGGCTTTAGAAAACTCAAGAATCAGGGCGACAGTGACATATCAAGATTCATCAGTGATGGAAGTTTTGTCTCTTAGACGTGTGGGATCTCAACACTCATTTTTCCAGCTGGGTTTCTCCTGGTGAAGGGCTGAGTCAATATTTCATTTAGTGAAAACTTCCTGGTGAATATTCTGTCACTTAAGAGGCTCTATTAATCATTACAGCATTGAAACATATTCCCCTAGGAGTGCTCAGACTGATCTCAGGGTTTAATTTTTAGAAAGAGATTTCTTACTACTTCACTTTTGTTGGTGTTATCACTGGCTGGACATAAAAGTATGAAACCGATTGGGAAATTTTACAACTAATTCCTTTGTTGGTATCAAGGGGTTATGTAAAGTTCACTGGAACATATTGTCTGAAGTTACAGTCAATGCTGTATTCAGCAAATCCATATTTCATAGTATGCCATACTTTAAATCCTTCAGACAAATTAACCTCTTGTCTAATCATACAAGCTCTATTGGTTTAAGCAACCTAAAGCGTGAGTTCTCAAAGTTACATCGAAATTCAGAGAGCTTTTCCCTCTAGGTTACAAGTGAAATAACACTTAGTTTTGTAAAATAGTGGGAATTCAAACAATAGAAATGGAAATTTAAAACATTGTCACAGTCAGAATTTTATGAATGAAATCACCTGCAGGAACCATAGGGTGAGAATAAGTCTGTTCATTAAAAAATCAAACAAACCAATCAAGAATGTACTTGCACAGCTATCTTTTAAACTACTCAAACACTTCCAAGTAAAAGTTTGAAATGGTTTAGTTTTTTCTTTTGATTAGTAATTGTAAATTTGTACAAAAATCTTCAAACGGAAGATATGAATGTAAGGGTGGTTTTAGTTTTTTAGGTTTTAGTGTGGCCAGCACGACTAAGGCAGTGATCACACTCCTGTACTTGGCACTAGTGAGGCCACACCTCAAGTACTATGTCTAACATGCAAAAAAATTATACAAAAAAGCCTATTCATTTGCAATTTTACTCCTATGGTTTACAAAACTATTTAACTACTTTCAGGAATCATAGTAACTGCATATAATTTTTCATGCCAAGTTTCTTTTCTACCCTACTCATTTTTTATATAGAGACATGTCATAATCTCGAGGACTAGCTTTTTGACTTTTCAGATCATTATTCCAAGGAATAATGAAGGGAAAATGACAGCATTACTCTTACATCTCTTTCATAATTACAAGGGCTATAAATTTTTGATGTAGAGATAAGGAATTTGAAGAGGCATAAAAATGCTAATATTCAACTCCTAAGGAAAAATCAAACATTCACCCTGACTTTTTCTTCTAACAGACAGTACCCCTTCACTAGCTATGTGGAATGTGAACCTGTCACAGCAGCGAGACTATTCAGACTATATGTGGGAGCATTTCTACTATTTGACTAAGACACATACAACAATCTGTTATCTGATTTTGATTTTTTGATTTAGCAAATTAAAGTCTTTTTCTTACCTCCAGTTCTTTTCTTGGAGAAGAGGATTCCCACTCAGTGACAACTCCTTTAGTTTATGGCAGCCACTAAACCATGTATGGACATCTTTAAGATCTGTAGTATAGCCAAAAGAAACCTAAATATGTCTGACTGCAGAACCATCTTGTTTCCCATAAATTGTTACATGAAACTGAAATGTATCAACATCATGCAGTCCTAAAAGCAAGACTGCTATCTATACAGCGTAATTATTATCTATAACACTAATGTTTGGAAAACATTTGTATATTTTCCACATAAATGTCTCTTATAAATTCATGGGAACAGTCCAATTCAAATCAGTTTATAATTTGACTAAGAAGTTATTATTTGAATGTTAATTTTTTTTAACACAACTCACCTGACAAGCAGTTATTTTTGATATCTAGCTTTTCCAAAAAGAAAAATGAATTTAAAGGCACAAGGTCAGTTAATCTAAGAATAAAACAGAAAAGATTTTTTAAAAACTTAAATTTAAATAGCACTTCATAAACAGAAAGGTACCAGAATCTTTTGCAGGTATGACAATTTATTTATTTATGTGAGAAAATGGCCATTTATCTATCCAAGGTGCTAGGACTAACTGCTAACATTTTAACCTGAAAATATTTCTTAGTTTTCTCAGCACCTTAGTTTTTAATATTTTCTAATTAATGGTTTTTTATCTCATAAATATTTCATTCTGTTCCCTGCATTTAGTGCTGAAGATCTGATGTCTTATAAAATTTACACATCTCAGCTGGCTTTTGTTTAGGTACTATAACCAGAATGGTACTAATAGAAGGTCCTGATTCTGGAGAAAAAATTAAAAATTTGCTTGGCTTCGTTCCTCATTTCTCATTGCTACAACTTTTTATCAGGTTGTTTCTCTTCTCCAATCAGCGCATTACTTCCTAGATTCTAAAACTAGCATAACAGTTGTCATGAATGCCCTTTTCAACAGGTCAAGGCTGCACTATCCTGTAATATATTTTTAGTGCTTCCTCTGTCTTACTACTTCTGTCACATTGTATCAAATAGGTGCTGATTACTGAGACAGTTATGGAATTCGACAAGAAATTGCTCTTCTTGCATTATCGGAGCTTTTACTGAGAAATAATGCAGCAAAGCAGTACTAAAGACAGGACAAAATTCTTGTTTGCAGCATTGAAGTGTAAATGTAAAGAAACTGAGCTGACATTCATCTACACAAAGGGATTGGAACTGTAAGATGTGTGCTATTGCTACTACTAAAGAATTAATGCTCAATGTTATTTCTTTGCTTACAAACTTTCATTTAGGAAAGAATGAATGTTGAATGGTTTTTTCAGCTGCCAAGCTTTTGCCAAATATTTCAGATTAAAGTTTATCTTAGTTTATCTTGAATATGAAAGAGGCAGAAAAAGGTAAAAAATCAAGATGCAAAGAATCCCAATTATCAACTACAACTAGAATGTTTAAGCGCATGGTACACCAGCTATACATTTTTTAAAGAGATACACATTTAGTAACATGTTTTATCTCTGTAATGGCAAGACCCTAGCATAACAGGAAAATGGTATGTGGTCAGTTTTTGACTGCTAATTTTCACTGAAAGTAGTATTTTCTGAGGGTATAGTGCTTTTGAAAGGTATAAATCAGAATACTTTTTGCCTGAAATATGACACTACAAAAAACTGAAATGTGCTCAAAATTATTGAGGGACAAAAATGCGCCTTTGTTGCTGAAAGGTATGGCTACGTTGTTTCCAGCACAGGGTTTACAACTGAAAGGCAGAGTTGAATTTTATTCTGGTGCACTAATTATTAACTAAATGTTAATTATAGATTATTAATCTCACCGAAAATATTGTCTGAAGTTACAGTCAATGCTGTATTCAGCAAATCCATATTTCATAGTATCCCATAGTATCCCAAATTCAAAACAGAAAAAAAAATTGGTTTCCACATCCAGTTGAGAAGTATTTCTATGCGACAACATGACATTTTAAAAGCAAATTCAGAGAAACAGATGCAAAGACAACTGAGTACATGCCACTGTACTTCCATTTCTTTCTCAAACTACATTGTAAAGTTGCCTTGGTTCTAACCCTACTTAGTTCTATTTCCTTTGTGCTATGGAAGTTTTCCATGGAATCAAACAACTATGAACAAGTATTGACTCTGTAAAGCATTAAGCCTTTTATGTAGATCTGTATATATAGTAATATAAATTTCAGCCTTTTAGTTTCTCATCATCAGCCAATAATACATGAGTATATTTAATATTCATAGCAAGCATCATCATAGATATTACTGGCTAATAGTATGGCTGCAAAAACTTAAAATTCATGACTATAGATTCAGATATTCAGAAAACAAAGACATAAGGAACAAAAGATCATGCAGGGTTTTTATTTATAATGAGTTCTCTGGCTCTTTAGCAGCATACGCTGTGGTGAATTAGAAATTGTCTACTGGACAGTCCTTGCCTGCCGTTGGCATTATGAGAGTTAAAACATTTCTCCGTCATTCTATAGCTTTCTCTTTACCGACATTCTTTGTTAATTTTTTTTCTAAGAAAATTCAAACCAGAAAGACAAAGGACATTACTGAAAACTTAATACTACTTGACCTTGTCACATTAGCCCTGGGCATAAGAGAGATATAAATTACAAAGAAGACACAAAAGTAAAAGATATTCGCAAAAAAGCAAGCTATAGCTTCCTTTTTCTGTTCCCATTTAAGGCATAACAGAACAGTCAGAGATAGAGTTTATGTCGTTTATGGGGCTATATCCAAAAACAAGGTTTAAGAATAGTTGCAAGTATGCATCACAGAAAATAAAGACTGTGTTTCTGAACATGAATAGCAGTTACTGCTCAAGATGGTCGAAATTCTGCTGTGCAACTGCTTTTCCCAAGAAAAATTAGCATTGATGTTAATAAGCGGTGAGTAGGAAGAAGGGCAAAATAACTCAAATAAATTTATCATACTCTAGATATTTAGGTAAAGACCATATTGCTTTTTCATTCCTTAAATTAAAGACATTCTGTTTTCAATAATCATCATATTTATAAGAGCAAATATACAGAATATAGGAAATCTGTCAGGTAGCCACTTTGCTTCTTGAATACTCTAGTAGACAGTACTTCAAGTATATTATCCATGATGCCATATACTTAGAGATAAACTTATCACCAGCAAAGAATTACTGAAAATTATTTTTAAAAATCTAGAGTGGTAAGGATAGGATGGAGAAAACCACTGAAATATTATTATTTCAATACCCTATGACATTTAGATATGATATGATAATTCTGGAAATGTGGTCAAATTCTCAAAACATCATGGCTTGCAAGGAGCTAAACTCTCATATCTGAGAAAGTCAGTTAAAAACACAGATACCATATATTTAAGTTGAGAGAACAATGTATGCTAAGAAAGAACTTAACCAACTTTTTAGCATTTCTACTATAAAGCTTTTAGGAATAATATGAATCTAGATGTCAAAAGATGAGAGCAACATGGTCACAACAAATTTGATTTGGGCCAGACTATTTTCTCAAAATCAAAAGGAACTTTTGCAGATGACTGATTTTTTTTAAATATTACATTTTTATCAATCTCAGTTAGGTTATCTTAGTGAAAAGCAAGTGATAGCAAAAAAAGAACTTTGTCTTATTAACACCACATTAAAACAGATGTTAGGAGAGATTTTGTCTATTTTGAAGTTGAAAAAAAATGGCTACCGGAACAGCAAGTTTAGTGTCTCACTGTAAAACTTTTAAATAAAAAAGCCATTAACTAGTGAGTTGTATAATTAAATGGGATGACATGTAAATATAAATGCCACATGAATGCTGAACGCATTAAAAATTTATTAGTTTTACACAAGGACAAGGTTTTTTTCTCCTACACCTAAATCTTTATCCACAACAGAAGAAAAAAGAATACGTCCCTCTTTTAAACTAACTTGACAGTTGTGTCCTCAGCTGCCATAAAATACAGAATGGATCTTCATAGTTTCAACACTGCAGAAACCAAGTCAAGAGGATATTCATCATTGTCTTTGGCCAACATTGATAAAGAATATGGTTTGTACACAAAAGCCACAATAAGACACTTAATAAAAGCAGCAGTGATGAAATAGCTGTCTTTTTTCTATTTGAAGGAGTTAATCACTACCTGTTTTAGTTTCTTGTTAATGTGTAGGTTTAAAACTATTTAAACCAAATAATTTTTGGAGTTTTACCTTTGACAGTTTCTGGTTTATGATGCAGACAAACCATCTCAGGAATAAAAATGTCCTGTAAATTAGTGTAAGAATTTTCTTTTCACAGTATTTCACTTTCAGAAAGAATACAGATTCATAGCATTATCATTATATTGGCTTCCTGCAATCAGTAAAGAGGAAATGGCACTCAGTGCACACTTGGAAAAAATTCACAAAATTGCACTGGCTGTAGGATAAAAGTAAAGAAACAGCTTTTCTTTCAACAGCTTACTCCATTACATTTGCTGTTTCTATAGAACATCAAGTTACTTATACTACAGCACACACATATGGAGTTGCTTATAAGTGTACATAAAGTGAGTGTAACAGAGCAGGCTACTGAAATGCCAGGAATTTTGAGGCTTTTAATATGGATTTAAGGCTATCTTGTCCTGTTTGTCACAAAGATTTGACATAAGCTATAGACACATCACAGAAAGAAAGGTAATTGTTTGGGGGCAAGATGTATACTTATTTTCAGCACATCCAGTTCTTTCTCACAGCCCAGCAAAAGGAACTCAGCAGACCAAACACTGCATCTCTGCTTGGCTACTGGAAAACCAGAGCAAGCGCTACAATGGACTTTAAAAACTCTAAGATGATGGGATAGGCAAGTGACTTAAGGTACATCTACATGGCTAGTCCAGCACAACCGAAATCCAGAGGCTGCATTTGAGCTATCACTGATAGCTCAAATGCAAGATAGTTTGCAAGTCCCTAGCAGGCATATGAGATCTTCAAGTTTTGCAAACACTTTATTACACACAGGATAGCTACACTGGTGGAAAAAGAGGAAACTACAACAATACAGAGCCACATTATCCACAAAGAAGCTAAAGAGGACAAGGAAAAAAAAATAGCTAAAAACAAGAATTAAATCAAGCAGTGTGACTTGAAATCTAATGCTTAACATATAATGCTCTTGCTTAATCACAGGCAGGAAGCACTTCATCCAAACTCTAGAAGAATTAATAAGGGAAAAAAAATTCCCAAACCCTAGAAGCCTGATCAGGAACTTGAAGATTAGATTCTGTAGGTATTTTATTTACATCCAAGAGTCTCCATGAATAGTACCTCACCAGAGATGCTATGAAAAGAATCTGAAAGGTGATATAGAAATATACATTGTATATACTTAAATAATATACAATTTCCATGAACGACATTGCTTATTATAACAGGACTCAGTCTTACACATCCTTTTTCCCACAGACACAATTGGCTAAGCTGAACTAAATGTCACATAGGGTGGTATTCTTCTGTTCAGATGTAGACATCTACACATGAGGTGGTAATTTTGATTTTTTTACTAGTCAGTGAAGATGAACAGGCACTTTTAGGCTATGATTGGTCTCAAAGCAAGCAGCTAAAAATGGCAGATGAATCACCCTTTAAAAACATCTATTCACTACCAGGAGAGTGAAGAAAATAGTTGAGGGTGTATTTCTATATGTGGTATGTAGTATTCTGTTTGTTAAGCTGAGATCAGTCTTATTCAGAACAAAATGATCACAGTATAGAAAAATAATGGGTGATAATTTAAAATTAATTTTCCTATTAACATATTGCAGACTGTAATAAATGTTTCATATATTTTATAGCAGAATTTAAATAGAGAAAAAGGGGAGTGGGGAAAATAGAGATTTTTAATTCAGGATGTCTGGTTATTATACCTCTAAAGATGTATAGAATATCTTATTAAACAAACAGAAAACTAATTACAGAGTACTTGAGTGCATGATCCAGTTTTATGCTGCTTGTCTCGTTTCTTTTATACCTTTTAAACAGAACCATAAGAGTGAAAAATTAAAGCAAATATACTTGTTTTGGAGGGCATTAACATATGTATGTAAAATAAAAAACATTCTTATTTGGCCTTTCTAACTCTAGTACTTGCCCTTAACTTAGCCTTCAAAGTCTGTTTTGAATAAGCTAGCTGTGAAAGATGAAGTTTGACAGACATACTCTAGAAACAATTGCTAAAGAAAGAAAGAAATACACCATGGTTTTAATAATGCCACAATGCTCAAGGATTATTTTCACATAATATCCAAGAGAAAAAAATTAATTTACAATGTTAATGCTGTTTCAAATTTTCTTAGATAGAGGTAGCCAAGGTAATTACATGCCAACCACATATTTTTATTTTTCAAGAATATACCAAAAGATAGTGAAATTTCAACCATACTGAGAATTATACTTTTCAGACAAGTGTTGTGTTAGTAAATTCCTCTGGATCAGTTCTGTAAGTGGAAGAATGTTTCTTACTTACCTATTTTGAGACAGCAAAAGAATCTGCAATAGAGGCAACCAATACAAAGAAAGCATTCTCACAGAAGAAATGCTATTGTCATCCAAATATAGTTCTCTTAAGAGAACATGATTTTCCAGTCTTGGAAGCTAAATAGAAACGAGATGGTTATTTAGAGTAATATAAATTAGAGAAACAACAATGGAATGCTTACCAGATGCTTTTCATAAATCATTACTAAATACAAGAAAAACTGACATTTTGGATATAGGTATCATTTCCTTATTATGTATGTACCAGTTGACACACAATCCCCATATATCAGGTGGTAAATACTTTTTAATGTCTTCTATCACACCTGAATAGTTAATATAAAAAATTAAAGAAGAAAAAAAAAATCAAAAGCCCAAGAGTCACAGTCTTAGTATTTTATTCATGCATTTATTTGCTGCTTATTGACAATACTTTTCATCTCCTTAATTCATAGGAGAATGACTGTTAGTAAATATGATTAAGCATATGGTTAGCAAACAACTTGGCTATTTTAAATGCTGCAGCATGAATTTCAAGTTTTGATGAATCAACAAACATTAAATAAGCATGATTATCATCATATTTAGGGTGATGATAATAATATAATCATTACATAAAGGTAACAGTAAGGAGCAATTACTTATATGTTATGACAATCATATCATTATTACTAGCCTGATATAATTATCTTACTATTATAACAGGACGTATAAGTAATAATAATCTTTTCTGACATAAACAAAATCAGAATCATAACTAGGAAAAAACCTATATGCTATAAATGAAGGAGGAACCATAATCACTGAGAGTCCAATTTTTCAAGGACTTAGGTGTAAGAAAACAATTAACTGCTAGCCATTTGTATCTTTGAAAAATCACCCTCTGATAAGGGGAAAAAAAAATCTTACCTAAGAGCATGAAACATCCCACACCAAACAAAGAGCACATGCTCAGAATGTTGAAAAATATGAGTGTTAGCAAAGATGTATGCACAACAGCCACTAAATTCAAAACTTTTACCTCCTGGAGATTATTGCCTTGCAACTTCAGAACTTGAAGGAGGCCACAATTCTCAATGCCTTCAACTTGTGCAAGATGATTGAAAGAGCAATCTAGGTGAATGAGAGTAGGTGCCTCACAAAGACCTTTTGTGCTGATTAAGTGATTATGGTCCATAATTAATTGCTGAAGATTTTTCAGTGACTCCAGACCACCTGAAAATTCAAGATTTAAGACATGATAAAATAAAAATCTCTTGTCATTCAAGTACTAAGGAAACTTGAAATTTTCTGTAAATTCTCTGACATAACAAGTAATATTACTTCTGTATAGGGTTTAAAATGAATTACTGTATTTTGACTCTATCACAAATACAGCGCATATGGTTCACAAATCTTTGATCCTGTTAATCATGCAATAATAACAGTTCATAATCTCTTTGGTACTTCTGTTGGAAGAGAACATTCTTTTAGTGATAAACTGTACTTACAATGCTTTAACCACTTTAAAACTGCTGTGAATTCTGCGAAATGCTAACAGCCCTCTTAAAATCATCCATCAGAATGAAAACACTATGTTTAAAAGTTAATTTTTATTATTTCGTTTTTTAAAGTTTATCAGCAAGGTTAGAAAAAAAAACTGTATTAAAACTTAGGCCAGTATCATCACTATTACTTAAATTAGTCTTGTTTAAGGAATTATGACAAAATAAGTTTAATGAAGGCATTTATAAAGAAAATTTAGTGTCTTTAAGAACAAAGCTATACTACTGTAGCCATTCTACTCTCAACAAATTTACTCCTGCCATCTACATTAAAGAGCATGCAATCTCTACATACAAAAGAAATGCAAAGGAATTCCCATCAGCATCTGTTTCTTTCACAGAATGTAACCCAAATCATCCTTACAACAGCAAAAAATTACATTGTCTTCCCATAGTCTTACACATGCAATGGCACTGATCCATCTAACTTGCTACAGGTCTGAGCGGCTTTTCTGTATCTCTGTAGTAAAAAATTCCTTTGAAGGGATACCCTTCACATAACTTATGTAAAATAAGAAATTTCTGATTTTATGTCTGTTTCATGTATTCTTAGATAATTTAGTTAATTTAGGATTATTTGAGGGAACACTTTGTCTCATCTTTATCTCACCCAAAATTTCAGAAGTTCCCCATAGGAATCTGAATGAGCTCGATTCACAATAGGGAATCTCCTTGTGACTGTTCTCTGAAAAAAACCTAGATTATGAAACCAGAGATCAGTTTGCATCGTAAAGTATTGAAAATACAGAAGAGGACTTAAAAATGAAAACAAATGATAAGGAAAAAACTAAAGCAAAACATTAAATAACACAACAGTAGTAAATTTTAAAAAATTCCCAATATAGGCATTCCAATTATTTTAATTTAAAAATGGAAAACACTTAGTGAAAAGAATGCAATTGTCTGACATTAAAGTGATATCATCTTAAATATAACACACATGTCCTATAATGCAACTTCAAAACTGTGCTTTAGCAAAAAAAATATACAAGTCTTTAACTATTCTGAAAAATTTCAAACATGCCCATGACATAATATCCTGACTGCAAGATCCTGATCTTGCATTTTTAGTTCGTGCTTGGATGAAAATAAAAAAGGAACCAGCACCATCTAGCGGTTCCAGAAACACTTTAGCGTTTTCGTGTGTTTGCTCCCAAGTCTTCCTCCTAAGAGCAGCTCTTCAACCTCCACTTTTCAGTTACCAGCTTAGCAGTACTGGAAACTTTAAAAGCGCTCTGTGAACCTGGAGTGGGACCAAGAAGAGAGACTGCACACACAATAAGAAAAGGCAAGAAGGTACAACAGAATCTGGAATTTTACTTCTCTGCATGCTTCCCAAAGCAATTTTTTTACTCTTACTCATCTGAATGTCATTCAGAACATTCTGGAATTATCAAATGCAGTCCAACAGAAAAAAAACCCACAAGAGAGAACAACATAGTACAAACAGATGATATATTACTGGTTCTTCTGCCCACATGCAAAATTAAATATAAACATGAAAGTGTTCTGCACCTTTCCAGAAGATATTGTATGTTTTACATACGATGCAACAAACAAAACTTATAGCGGTCATAGGAAAATAATTTTGTTTTACATGGTTTCAGCAAGATTCAAGGAGAACTTTTATGTAAGTCCTCAGCAATTTGCAAAGTACAGCTGAAGTCTGCTAGCTAGGGAGTCAGTTACTGATGCAGCTGTGAAGTCACTTTTACGTGGGACAAAGACAACTAACAACAGAGTGAAAGCTGACAGCGAACATAAAAATGAAAAAAAAAATCCCTAAAATAAAACCCCCAAACAACAAAACCAAAACTAAAAAGGTGTCTGGTTAAAAAAAAAAAATCCTCTGTGCTGTCTTAAAGACTATATTGAAAGCAGCATTTATGACCATCCATGGCTATGCATTCCTTGAGCTGCCAGCACCAGCTGCAGCTGCTGCTACCCAGCACTCTATGGCAATGCAGAACACCCAAGAGAAGCATATTTGAAGACCTGAGTCAAAATACTACTTTTTGTGCATGCAATTTTTAAACAAAGCATTCATCCTCAAAATACAAACGTATGCACTCAACTTTGGTTTGTTACTGTTACAATTACTTAATTTCTGATCATGTATTCCTCAGGGAAAAAGCATAATTGAGACTATTTCTCTCACTGCTATATTTAAAGGGTTTTTGGCAGCTCTACTTTTCCCCCTACTAATGCTATATTTTCTCCTCCAATGAGAGGAGAAAAGAATAAAAAGAGAAATCATAGTATGCTAGAAATTTCCTAAAGTAAGTCATTAAAATTTAAATATTATGAACGTAAATATGCTTTACTACACAGTACTGGAGGTTCCAAAATTGCTAAGGGACATCCTGCAAGATTTAGAGATGGGAGTGATATGCTAAATTTTATAACACACAAATCCCTTTTATGCATTCTGTGAGCTACTCAATATGAAATAAATCCTGTATTATGTATCTGCTTTAACCTAAAATCTTCACAGCAATTCTGGAGAGGAAAAAAAAACACATTTGAAGATGAATTTTGTGAACATTTATTTGCACACTTAAATTCATTAGAGACTAAATAATTGTAGCAATGCACTGCACAAAAGAGAAAATACCAGAGGACTTCAGTCCACTTGGCCTGTATGAAGTTACCACACTCCACACGAATGCCACATTCTTAAATGTCATCCACTAAAATTGTATCATTCTTAGAGTAATCTTGCAGACATTTTTATCAAATGAGATCAATCTGAATAAGAACCTTATCAAGCACTACACACAACAATGCAGATGAAACTTTTTAACCATATTGTTTTACTGTTCCTCATTAGAGTACTGATATGCTTTCATGGTAAAAATTGATTTCCCAGCACTTTTATTCTCACATATTAAAAATTTTCTTCATGAATAATAACATTTACACATATTAGCAAAAATATTCATAATATCTTCATTAAAATCTCTACATCTACAGATTTTTTTTAAGGTTTCCCATTTTCTGTTTGCTACGCTCTTGCCGTTAATCACAGAACTGTATAATCATGGTTCATAGTGTTATTTAATAGTTTCATTTAACAGTGGAGCTGCTTCTTATTTACAAATTTTATGTTAATTTGTTTAGTCTATGAGCTTAATAATTGTTTTTAATTATTTTCCTATTGTCCAGCAGACTCAAGACAGACAACACACTTTCTATATAACTACTTACTGTGTCAGTCAGAACACCCTGGAATTCCCTGCAGCTGCACAGCTAGCCTTTGCTTTCATTATGTCTGTAGATAAGCTGAACTCAGCCTACTCTCATATTCCAGCTGATTTACTGCAGATAATGTTAGTGGCCCTTTCAGAAAGATTTTAATTCTCTTTGGCTGACAATAGTTACATGACCTGCTAGATGGAATACATGGCAATAGCTAAGCCAAGCTTTCAGATGCAGGTTTTTTGTCAAGTCTGTCTCCTTGGGCTTAGCAGCTGACTGGCTCTAAATCCAATGGGTGTATAATTCTGAATATAAACTGCATGAAGTGTTATAGAAATTGGAATAATTTTCTTACCAATTCGAGTGATTCTATTGTAGGAAAGTTCAAGATTTTGGAGATTTTTGCATCCATCTAAGCCACAAACTGATGAAAGATGGTTCTTATTCAGAATGAGAATACAGAGATTTTCCAGATTTGCACAGTCAATTACCTGAATGTTGTTTTCCTGCAATAAAAGAAAATGAGAATATTAAATACCATCTGAAGTGAAGTAGCAGAACTACGTAAAACATAGCAGATTATCTTCATTGCTTATTTTTATCCTAAACTCTTAGCTAGGAGTAAGGGCATCTTTATTTTTCCATTGGGAAAAAAAAAGATGAGTCCTAGAAATGACCTTTTGTGTCCTGCTGAAATATAACAAGAAAGTATTTTGAACTTCATTCTGGTTCTGAAAATTACCAAAGTTGAAACAAAAAGAGCATAAAAAAGAAGTTAAGAACAGAGCAGTCTCTTCCATATACATTTTCCTACCTCTCGAAACCCTGGGAGACTGAACTAAAAACATCCATAAAACCATCATATTTACTAGATGCTAATGAAGACAGCTGTAATTTTGCTGGAATCCTATTTACTAATAGCAAAAGTCTGCATTAAGAGGTAATTTGGTCACAAACATTAACACTGTTCTAAGCTGATACTCTTCCTCCAAAGATCCTGCTTTTCAAACATCCTCTTCCCCAGGCCATTTTAATAATGCTTCCTCAGATGTCTCTTTCACTATTTGCTGTGTTTGGTCTTTTCATGTGGAAAATGGTGCTGTTAAAACACATTAAATTAAAAATGTGAACAAAGCTGTTTCATGTAAGTTGTCAAGCTCTGGAACAAAGATGCATTACAGAGAAAAAGTTCTCTTTAATAATTTAACGTGGCCATGTAAGACACTGCGCAATAGCAAATACCTAAACATTAGGCCTCTAGTATAACTCACTATATGTACTATTCCTTGAACATAAATGTTACGAATTTTAATTAACATTCAATGTGTATGTTGCAAAGGACTCTTCCCTCTCCCTATTCTTGCTCAAGCTGAGCACCTGCTATGGTGAACAGCTTCTGCCCACTCATCAGAGACTGAGTAAACAAAGATCTATACTCATGTTAACCGTAGCCTGATATTGTCTTAGTATAGGTTGAATCATTTGCAGCATGTTGTTTTTTGTTATTGGCACCTTCAATCTGTTTGTAAAACTTTGTTTACATTTGGGAGCATGTTGTTGCTATTCCTATGCTCTTAAGGCTAAAAGTTACATATTCAGTTGTACAACTGAACATTGAACTGGCAGTTCTCCCCATGTTGTAACAAAGAATCAAATATGCTTGGTACCTCCACATTGATATACTTCAGGTCTTTGCAGCTACTTAGTCCTTCGAGTGCAACCAGTCCACAGCGCCTCAGAGTCAAAACTTGAAGATTTGAACATTCAGATAAGGTTGAGAGACTACAAGCTGGCAAATCTTCGAGCGTAAGCGTTGTGACCTACATGCATTTATTGATAAATAAAACTAACATTTTGTATATTGAAGATTCAGTGCACAACATCATAATATGGTAATTTTCTTTAGGAGGAAAAGAACAAAACTACAATCTATTATTTTTATAGATAATTATTAAAATCTATTATTTTATAGATTTTATATTGATTTTATAGAGAATCTAATTCTCTATAAAATGCAAGCAGCTAATGGTAATCTTTTCATATAGAAAAGAATAACAATGATAGGTTTGATCTGTCCAATGGGAGGAGCTAGCATGAAAACAATAGTTACAGTATCATAAATAATGAGTGTAGAACAGACAAAAATTGTTCAGACTAGAAGTGTGTATAGGCTAGTAGGCCATCTCAAGAATGGACATCAAGATGAGAGCATGGAGCAAGCATACGATAAGTTAATAAGTGGTAAGAAAAACAAATCCTGGCAACCAGGCGATGTCCTTTATGGCAAAACACTGTCTATAAGCTGATCAGTAATACCTTGTTTCTAGAAGAGGCTATTGCTCTCAAAACTCAGAATGAGCTAGTTAACCAGAAGCTGAAATGTGGGCCTTTATACAAAGGCAAAACTTTGTTAATTAAGCAGAATGTAAAAGCTCTTTCCTTTCAAAGTGTTAATATTATCAATCATCTGAAGACTAATACCACATTGTCTGTTTCACAACACTCACTGGAATTCAAAAGTCATTGTCATTGCTCTTATTCTGCACTTGGGCACAGGAACTGTCACAATATCTATTTCCAGCTCAACAATAAACAGCATTCTGCCAACATACCAAAACAGAAAATAACAAAAAAAGTGAAAGTATGTCTCCCATTTCATTCTCAAACTTTCATATTACCAGTTACCTGTTGCAAGGTACTCCAAGGGCCACTATGAATTATCTTTTCTGTACTTAATGGAGGCATCTTGCTAACTGAACTTTTCCTTAGTAGTTTTCTTATAGTTGCTTGCTTTCTTTGGTTTTCTTCATATATTTTAGACCAAGATTTGCATGTCTTCATCCAGTTAATTCTCTTCTGTTCAATATCATCGGGAAAAATTACTTTACTACGAGACTCTGCTACGTCTTGACTACTGTCCCAGGTGTCTCTGACATCTTCAGTAGCATTTTCAATCAGAAATAAAGTTTTCTTCACAGTTTCATACTGAGAAAATAGATCTTTAATTTCTCTGTTATTAGCATTTGGCTGGACATTTGGAGGACTGCTGCATATGCAGTTTGCCTTATTTTCTACCATATCCTTAGCACCAAAGTGATGAGATTCATTCTTTGAAATATGACCATTTGAAACTTTATGAGTTATTTGTGAGTAATTTTCTTCTACTTGTGTTACTGAATTAATGTATAAGTTCTCATTATTCACTTGAGAAGGGTGTCCCTTCTCAGAGCCTAGCACACTTGGTGTCAAATTTCTTTCTGCTAGACTCATCCATTTATTTGTTTCATCCATCATTTCAGCATGCTTTTCTTTTGGCTCCTCTACTTGTTTATTTAGTTCCACCTTCTCTTCTCTTATTAGTGTCATATTTTCTGTCTTTTCCTTTTTTGTGTTTTCTCTGTTATTTTCTACATTTTCACTCATCACAGCTTCTGCTCTTTTTTGTTCTAATTTTCTTTGTTCTTCTCTTGTTATTTGGAGTTGTTTTCTCAATTTCAGGCTTTCTTTCTTTTTCTCATATTCCACAAGCTTCCTCACCTGTTTGAAATATTCTTGTCTTTCAAGTTCTTGTCTATTTCTTTCCTTTTCTCTATTTAACCTGTTTTCTTCCATTTGCATGTTCAGTTTTTCCTCTCTTTCTTTCATTTCTCCCTCTATTTCCTCTAGTATTTTCTGCTTCTTTCTTATTTCATATTTCCATTGTTTTAAAATGGGAGCATATTTTTTACGGACTAAAAATGCTCTAAATCTAGCTTGGATTTGCACAGCTGCTATACTCTGCCGTTCAGCTAGTTGCTGTCTTTCTTTTGCTTTCTGTTCTTCCAAGGCCTTTTTCTCCTCTTCCATTTGCAATTGTAGCTTCATGATCAATTCCTAGGCCAAAACAATTAGGATAGATTTCAACCACTTTTAAAATGTGACAGGTATTGACACATATTTATCATTCATATACAGAATCTAGTATATTAAGCATTCCATGGTAACATTTATTCTCAAATATGTAACAGTAACCTTACCGTCTTTTGACAAAAGCTCACTGTACAACCTTACCTCATGTTGCCTCATTTTGTCTCTCCAAGCTTCCTCCTCCTTCTGTAACTCATCTTCTATTGCAGCCTGGCGTTTCTGCACAACAAATTAACTTAAATGAATATTGTACAAAAACAGAACAACACAAAACACCCTCTCTCCCATTTCACCCATCTTCTTGACTTTCCAACAATACAATTTTGTGAATGCCTGAATTTAAATGAGAAACTGAGCCGTGTGTGGATCAAAATCAAAAACAGGACACTTGCATCAGTTATGTATATTTGGTCATGTACTGAGAGATGCATACCTTCACAAAGTCAGCATCTAGGTACTGACCCAAATAGCTGCCACCTTCCTCTCCAAGATCTGTACTACTATCAAAGATGAAAACTAGTTACCAAACCATTCAAAGTACAGGCAGAAAACAGAAACATGTCTGAATAATAGCGTGAACAATCTCCCTTTAATAGCATTGGTAGGTACTGATAATATTAAAATCCTTCAAATGGGAATTTTGTTCAGTAAAGCTGAAGAAATTTTTCTGACTGAAACTGCTGCTCAACAGAAAATGAAAGTTCAAGTCTACTTTCTCACTATTTGCAAGTAAATAGCATTTCCTTCCTTGCCCAACATAACCGCAATCAGGAAAAAGTCTCAATCAGACTGTAAGTTAGCAGACAGAAAGCTAGTTACCTAAGTAACTAAAAAACAGGCTGATCCAGAACCACATAATTCCTGGTGGAACCAAGATATATCAAGCAAATCAAATATGGAGGATATGAAGGAAGTAGTATAAGCAACCACTTTCAACTTGGAGCATAAAGTCTCCCATGTGTATAAGCACTGTTTTTCATGGGCATGCTGTTTAGACAACAGGAGACCAGACATCTACATCCTTCTGCAACAGGAAAAGTTGGATTCTATTTCTCATCTCCAAAGGAAACATTCTTGCAACAGCAGTATCAAAGTGCCTAAATGCGGCCATGCTCATCTTTCCCTAGAGAAAGCCATCCTACATCCAAAAATGTTTTGTGACAGCAAAGACCCAAGAAGGCCTATCAGTTTTTCTGACCTTTTGAAAAGAGAGCTATAGAAGACACTGAACTGATCTTCAGAGATCAAAGGTCTTTTCATTTACTAAGCCCTTCCTTACTACTGGTGACTTGAATTACCTTGCTGGTACCTAACTGAAAATGTAGTGTTAATGCACCTTTCAAAACACACTTATTTAGGCTAAATAATAAAATTGTGTGGCCTCACAAGTATAATATCTGAGAGTTAAATTTCTTCATGTTCTTTCACTCTTTTATCCACTGTGATGCTCCACCCACTATAGCAAAACATGATTAGATAGTCTGAGACTGCAACCAGCCAATGTGTTGAGTCATCATCTGCTGTGGCAGAACTCAGTAGATGAAGCCTGAGTAAGTTTCCCAGATAAAGATAGGGACAGCAAGTATTGTAACTTTTACCTAGTGAAAAACATTACCAGCATTGCTGAATTGAATAATTTTGTTTCTGATTACTTCCATTAAGATTTTAACATCGAAATGTGAAATTGGGGTGGGAGGTCCAAACTAGCTAAGCATTTTCTGTTAGGGCACAGTGACCATTTTTAATTTGTGATTAATTTCAGCACAACTCTCATTTCTGGTGATTTCATTATGTAAAAACTTTGTAAAGGCTAAGCTTAAGGAGTAATTTAAAATTTAGCATAGCAAATTCATTCACTATTGATTAAAAGAATAAACACACAAAAACCAATGGACTACACTTAAATATGTTTTACAACTTACTGGCAACACAAGTAGACAGGGTTTAGGACAGTCATGCAGTTTGAGATAGTAGACTCTTTTTCACATTAGAGCTATAATTCAGGTAGTCTAGATTGGAACAGATTGGCTTAAAAACATTCATTACCTTATGAAGAAGATCTAACTTTATTCTTTCAGCCTCAAATTGCTCCAGATGCTGCAGTCTTCTTGCATGTTCCTGTTCATTCTGTTTTTTCTGTGAGGCTCTCTCTGCTTTCCACGTTTTCATTTTCTCATCTTCATGCTCAAGTGCTCGTCTATACTGTTCTTCTACTTCACGATGGGCAAGACTTATGCTCATTTCAAGATCAGATATTAATCAACCCAGAAAACATGTTATTTAATTTCCCAATAAGCACTGGGGAACTGTCTTAAGGTATTTGACAAGAAAAGGATCCTATGATTATATAGCCAGCAATATATATCTGATTTCCTACATGTATTATATAATATATATAGGAAATCAGAGCTACATTAAAAGTCCTTTCCATCCGAGATGGCTTATTGTTATTCTGCACACTTACTAACACTGCAACTATTCTGCTTATTCTAAAAATGTAAAATTCAGGCATTCATACAATTCATGTCTTCTGTGGCTTTTCGTGGGGCCTTTAGTCTGCTATGCTCCAGCCCAACTCATCCAAAGGCCACAGCAAAGGAACATTCTCAGCCAATGTGACCACAAAAGAACCAAACCAAAATCCAAAAACCAAAACAAACAACAACAACAACAAAAATCTGTTGTCAAAGCAGAACCTGCTTAGTGCCTCTGAGCAGCTTTCATTTTTGAGTGCTATTTTTTGATACTAATTTCTATGATGATTCTGTGATCTTGAAATGAGACAAAGGCAAAAGTGTTTGTTTATGTCCAATCCATCAAGTAACAAGCCCTGTTGTATACTGCAATGTGAAATTCTTTAAAAAGAATGCGATGATACTTATGACAACAGAAAAGCAGGAAATAGCGATATGTTAAAGATCAACTCAACCAAATGAATAATGTGCTTGCTTACCTGTAAGAAAGTGATCATCACTGACTGTCTCATCACTGATGGACTGACTATAATCAGGTGTTGTAGCAAGTGGCAAATCTTCATTTTCAACTTCAAGCAGTATCTAACATAGTTTAAAATTATTATTAAAAAACAAGAAATAAAATTTAAAAGCAGAACATTATAGAAATCTTCCAGAACAAGGATAAGCTTTTCATTATATGACAAGTACAACAATGTGAAACTTACTGCCGACTGGAATCCTTTCACATTGAATAATGCTAACATATCGGTCAAAATATTGTTTTCTAGAGTAACGAATATTGTAGTATTTATCAAAATACATAATATTTCTATGTGTTTTTAAAATATATTTAATATTTTGACTTGGAAATGTGAATGTCTTGCAGTTGAGATTTATTTTACTTTCTGTGAAACCAAACACTTATGCATGAATACTGTTATGCACACTGGGGAAGAACTAGTTACAGAGCAAATTTTTAAGAAGACTATTAAAAAATAGTACTATGGGCACAAGGATTGCTATATTTATTTCATTGTTCTTTACTGGCAAGCAATCTATTCCTGCTCATTTATCATCTGTTCATCACATGCTTTGGGCCTATATTAATATTTGTAATGTAGCTGAAGTCACATGAAGTAATTGTGCTGTTTTAAACAATGGTCTTCTGAGAACAAAAAATCGTGTCTGCAAGAGTGCTCAGTAATAAAATCCAGGCAGCAAATTAAAAGTGAATAAATTAAATATAGTTTTATATTTTTCTAAGAAAACTTCAGCAAGTTATTTAGTCAAATCCTATGAAAATATAGAAGCAGGCATGTTCGTAACTCTTGATTTATCTTTGAAAGGTACATTTATATTTTTGGAAGGTTTTTTTTTGAAAGTTATTTTTACATTTATCTTTGAAAGTTATGTTTTTATTTTCCATAAAATAATGGAATATATTAGGAGCAAGATTAATAGTAGTACAGCTTCCTGATAATCATAAAAACAAGATTAGAGAAGCTTAAAAGTGCTATCATAATATTAAGATAATAGTCTTCAAATAGCTATCAATAACTATCAATAAGCAATTACTCAGTTTTGTTTAATTTTGTCGATTTTTGTGCTCAATATATCAGATAATTTATTTCAAATTTGAAAGCTTATTAGAGTTGATGTCCTAATTCTAAAGATTTGTATGTAGAAACTCATAGAAACTCATCTTAATACATTATGGACAGTCTTACAGAAAAAAACCTGAACACATTTATAGATCTCCTTAGGAGGCCACTAAAGCAAGTGTAAGTTATCTAGATTATTTAACAGAAATTTATTCCCTATAAATAATGTATAAATAAAAAATACCTTTTCATTAAATTGTTTTGAATTCTCATTCGATTCAGAAGGATGGCAAGAAACTACTTCATAAATGTCTTCTAAGAAAAAATAAGTAAAAAATTTAGTTCACAGAGAGAAAATCCCTTACGAGTGCTCAGTTTTGGTCTACACTTTCTATCTATTCAATTTGTTTAAACTAAAATAAAGTTCTCCTTTCCCCCCAGTTTTACTTAAATATGTATGGGAATCATTTATTTACATTAAAAGCAGGAAATGTGTGTAACAGAAACAGACAAAATGATACTGTAAGAATACAGCGATAGCAAATATGAAAGAGAATTCCACATCATGAAACACAGCAGAACATTTTCTCTGCAGAAAAATACAGTAGCACTTGTATCAGAGAGGTCAAAAGTTGACAAAGAACAATTAAAAAGAATAAGATTGCATTACAAAAAGAATAAATAGGGATGTTCCGCAGATATCAAAATTTGTAGCCAATGCTGAACTTCTGGTCACCAAGCCTATTGCACCAATGGAACAGGCAGTGGCATATACACTATGAGCTTGGCTTCAGACACAGCAAACAGAAATATTTTTTTGCCAATTAACAGTCATTTCATCCAATAAGAGCTTGGGCATCTCAAGACAGACTTTAAATATAACCTGTCAGAGCCAATTGTATCTGAACCCTGCATTTCCGCTCCTACTGACTTCAGTTTCGACTTTCATGAAGAGTCTGACCTGGGCTCTTAGAGTAATCTCGCAACTTGCCTTCTTTAGCATGAGATGAGTTTTTAAAAAAGCTTAATTTCTGCTCAGATGTTCATTCAAGAAGATAGCACTGCATGGCTTTATTCCTAGAGATTTTCATCATGCATTCAGAAGCTGAGGGAATAGGTTTCACTGCTTGTTCTACTTAAAAGTTTGCATTATCTTATGGATGCTTGTTAGTCTAACTTCCACTGGCAATACAAGGTGTACAAACATTTTAACTGTGATTAATGCTTACTTCTACTTTGCTCATCTTCCAAGTACTGCAGTATAAGCTTTTCAGCATCTTGATTGCTGCTCTTGATAAAGTTTAAATAGGCAAGAACTGAATCTGGTAAGTCACCTGAAATCTAGAAAAACACAACCTTTGACATATAATTTTCATCTCACCGGCTTGAAAAGTGGCAAATACTTGACATAAGAGAATAAAGACTTGTTTTGGCATTGATGGAAATTAAGCAGCAATTTCCACCAAAATTTTTCCAAATTCCTATACTCTTCTCATTGTCTTATTGCCCACTGAACAATTAATAATTCTAGTTTTAATTACATTCTAATCAAATTTTAGTAATGTATCTTGCACTCTCTCCAGAAACATATTTCAATAAATTGTTGTGTTTATAACTGTGCTGGACCAGGAAATAAAGGAAAAGGATAAGATAAAAATGAACAAATACCTGTGATGTACAGGTACTTTTCTTTAAAATGTCTAGACTCCTCACAAAATAAATAAATTGTAAATTTACTAATGTTTAAAGTATACGTGTAGAACCAATGCTTCAGTTTTCTTTATTACATAGAAATTTTCTATTCAAAAGACTACCTTTAATGTCAAGATTTTGGGAAAATCGTATGCCTTCTCTGATGTGCAAATTTTGGTTGACATTGCTGACATTCAATATGTGGGTGCTTACACACTTATCAGTGATGCCTTTGACATATTTTTATGATCAATATTATCTACCCTAATAGCCTACAGACCAATTCCTATGCTATGAATCTGAAAGATAAAAATGGCAGAAAAGGACCCAAATAACTGATTTTATTTCAGAGGAAAGACACTTCCCAAAATAAGAAGTCATCCAAGAAAGAGGACTTGAAGAACCTATTTATATCAAATTAGTATCTGGAAATCTTACAAGGAATCTCCTAAACCAGGCCCTTGTAAGACTAAAATACAGATTTCAGTGAAGAATCATCTACTTATTCATCCAGACTTAATTTACCTCATCAAATCTTCCAGCTTCAGAGGATTCTAAAGTAAAATCTCCAGGTCTGATCTTCTCAAGCAGAATGATGATATTCATCTTTCCTATTGTCCTGTTACCACATTTTTCATGAAGCAATACTACCAAGACTGTTCAGATCAAAGCCTCGGATTAGGTGTTGGACAAACATTCACTCACCAAAGGGGCTTTCCAATGCCAACACTGCTTTGGTACTACACGCTACAGAAGCAGTTTTAGCTCAATGAATACTTACAGTCTCACTGTCACTCAAGGGTTCCTCTGATACCTCTGTGTCAGGATCATCTGTTCCAAACGAAGAAACACTGATTCTGTCTAATTCAATTTCTACTTCTTTTTCAATTCCCTTAATATCTTCCGACATTCTACTTCCCACAGCTCCTTATCTGTTTTGAAAGCTACACAGAAAAAAAGTAACACCTTTCAACAGAGCATGAACCAAAATAAACAGAGTTCTCAAAATAAGACTAAGAACATAGAAAGTTTTAATGATACAGAGAAAACCATGAGAAATAATGTAACCCAGAGAGGTAAAAAACTTGTGGATGGGTGCAGGCAGGGGGAAACGGCTCCCCTCCCTCCTTTCGCAACCCGTTGCCCCCTGCAATTAGGAGAATGGGAGGCAACGAGCCGGAGCACACGGAGCGCATTTCTGCAGGGAAGGCGAGAAGCAGATCCAGGCTGAGAGGAAACTACACCTCCCGAAAGGCACCGCGCCCGGAAGCAGCACCGCCCACCAACGCTTCCTGACAGGCGATCGGCTCCGTCCCTTTGCATGCTGGGAGTTGTAGTCCAGCGCTCGCAGTCCTCCGGTCCCCCCGCGTCTACTTCATGTACCCACTCACCTGCTGTTCAGTCAAGTTCCTCACGGAGCCTCCTCCTTTCTGGCCGCCACTGGAGACCGGCCGCCCTTCCGCCCTGAAATCCCGCAGCCACTAACAGCGGACGGTGGGGAGCTTCAGGGAGAGCACGAGAGCCGCGCACCGCGCTGCTACCGCGGGAGCGTCACCACGGCAACGAGAAACAGCAGCTCGGACGGGCTGCGAGAGGAGCCAGACTTCGTCAGCAGCTGCCGTTTCTCGTTCTTGGGGCGTTCGGCAGCGCCCCCCAGCGTGAGACGGAGCACCTCGCAGCACCTCTTTTCGTGGTCTTGTTTGGGTTTTTTTCTTTAATATTGGGGTTTGTTTGTTTGATTGTTTTGAGGGTTTTTGTGGTTTTGTTTGTTTGTTTTGGGGCTGTTGATGTTTTTTGAGAGTATTTTTATTTTGGTTTTGGATTTTTTTGTTTTGTTTTGTTTTCAGTTTGTGTTTGGGGATTTTTTTGTAGCCATAGACTGGTATTTAGTGTTCTCAATAAATTGCAAGAGGCAATTAAACATAAAAAATATATAAATAAAAGCATCCCAAGACAATAGTAAAGGTGGGTTAAAACACGGTGGGTTTGCTTCCATTCTTATTTCTCCAGAGAACTCTAGAGCAGTAAAAAATATAAAACACCAGACATCCCTTCTGTCTTCCCATGTTGGGGCTGGGTCATGGCTCAGAAGGGCTGGCTGGCACTGGGGCCATCGTGGGGCACCGGAGTCTGGCATGACCAGCCTGGCACAGCCCATGGGTGCAGGGGGACCAGTGGCTCAGCACGGCCCTGCTGGTGCTGCAGGTAGGGAGCAACCAGTAGGAGTTAAAAAAAAAAAAAAAAAAAAAAAAAAAAGTAAGAGACAGGTAAATGCAAATGCAAATTCATAGAGTCATAGAATGGTTTGGGTTGGAAGGAACTACCAACATCATCTCTTACAAATGACCTGCCATGTGCAGGGACACCTTCCACTAGACCAAGTTGCTCAGTGCCCCATCCAGCATGGCCTTGAACACAGGGATGGGGCATTCACAGCTTTCCTGGGCAACCTGTTTTCAAGCCTCATCACCCTTTGTGGTATAAAGAATTTCCTTGTAGCATCTAATCTAAATCTGCCCTCTTCTAGTTTAAAACCTGACTCCCTTGTCTTACCACTGTCTGCCTGTGTAAAAATCCCTTGCTGGTTATTAAAAGCTAGAGAAAATGTCCAATTGGACAATTAGAGACTAAATAGAATTCAGTCGAAGAAAAGTTACGCAGATCAGGCAGGGTGCAGATAATCATATTTTTGTGTGTTTATAGGGAGCACATCTAACCCTGAGTCTTGATACTGTTGAGCCAGGGATGGGCAAAATGACTCATACGAGTTCAGAAGGCAAAATGAGACTTTATTCAAAAGCACTTCTCTCTTTTATAGAGAACATCATGAATATTAATTCCATTGGCCTTAAAGTAAAAACATTTCACCTGACTGGCACACTGGACTTAGGTCAGTGTGGTAGAACATATCTATAAACAATATGAACGGAAATCAAGATAATAGGTTGTTTACATTCCTCTTGGACTTTTTCCCAGGCTTAGCCTGGCAGAAATCTTTCTCTTTTTCTCTCTGACTGAACTGAGAATATCTGCAAAGTCTGACGAGGAATACAAAGATGCAAAAACAGGTATAACAAAATTAAGAGCTAAAAGATAAAGTTAGGTTTTACGTAGAAAATATGCAATTTGGGAGCAATGGGAAGGATTTGCCAAAAATGGTAGGGGTTTTCCCATCTACTGTCCTTAGAATAAGCTGAGTACATTTCTGAAAGTATTAGGGGTGTTGAACAAAAAATATTTGCTTCAAGGGCAACTGATTAAAGTTTTCTCACCAGTGTAATGGATAAGCATGATAATTAAATATTAAGAAATGGAAATGTATACATTTGAAATCCACCCTTTTATATAATCATTTCAGTGGCAATCTTTTCAATGTGATCAACTATTTATTCACTGATTGAATGTGCACTTAATACCACTTTTGTAGTGCACATTATACTGTGCACATATTGAATAAAGACCATGTCCTATCTTAGCAAAAAAATTTCCCAATAAAAGAGATGTTTCGTAGAAGCCATAGAAAGATTTAATTTCATGAAATGAAATGAAGAATTTTCAAATCACTGCTCACTCAACCCTAAGGCTAAACTTAATCCTAACCCTAACCCTTACCCTAGCTCTAGCCCTAACCCTAACCCTAGCCTTAAACTTAACCCCAACACTAACCCTAGCAAAAAAAAATCCCCATCCAAATGGGTGGTCAAGTTTAGAAAGAAGTAGGAGCAGCAATACTGAGGCCCTACTAGGCCCACCTTTCCATTCATGTTATGGCCATGCTCTTCCTGGAGCTGTAGGATCAACCCTAACCCTAACCTTAAACATTGCCCTAACCCTCAGACCAACCTAAAGTCTCAATCCCCATGGATGCTCGATTTTAGAAAGAAGTAGGAGCAGCAGTGTTGGGGCTGTGCAGGGATTGCCCTTGGCATGCCATTTCCAGCCCAAGTGTTCCTGTTCCTGTAGCTCTTTGACTCACTCACCACTAACCCTAACCCTAACCCTGATCCTAATGACATCTTGGGACTGTGCAGATGTCCTCATCGCCAAAGGTTACACAGATTGAAAGGTGTGGATCTATCAATTGTGGCACCATGCCCTGATGCCTTTTGGACTGCCAGTGTCCCTGAAGCTATAGGTTCTGCAGCTCTCTGAACCCTCACACAAACCCTAAGTGAAGCTTGTTGTTGCTGCTGAGATCCCCATCACCAGTCACTGATTCAAAAACTGTAGAGTGAACATCTTGGAGCTGTGCTGTAATGAAAATTCTTCATTTCACAAATTTAAAAATGAAGGGAAAATAATTGCATGACATGGAATGACAGGAAGTGCATCAAAATGAGCTGAAACTTCCTGAAACATTTTGCCTGTATCCAGAAAGTCAGAGCTGGCCAACATAAGAAAACTTCTCTGTTTTAAAGATGTGGTTATGTTGGACTTCAGGAAGAAATAGATCATTTGACCATTCTCCTTAAGGTAGGATGGAAATATTCAATGCTGGTAAAAATTTTCTTGTGTATAAACAATGTAATATAAAATGTAAGTTAATTTATAAGGATAATATTTTTAATTTTTAGGTAGATGTTTTAAGATTAACTGAATTGTTATTAAAATTTCTCAGAATAAATCTTTGAAACCACATCGGTAACACAAGAGAACTATTGCAGGTTCCAGTTTTCATTTCAATATATAACTCTTCAGGAGTTTTTTCCTAAAAACAAAATGCATCACACCACTGTTTTGATACATTCTATTTTTGAAAACCAAGAAAAAGTTCAATGACTCTTAAAAGTAGTGAAGCTTTTCCTGGGAAATTGAAATGCCTGTTGTCCCATACAGTCTATAGTTTTACAAGGTGCATTGTTGACCTCATTATTGACTCCACTCCCCTGCAGAGCTAGTTTGAAAAACTTGCTACAGCTTCCTTTGTGCTGAAATCCAGCAGAAGAAATTTTATAATCCAGGCATTGAGGATTTTGACAGGGCAGACTAAGTTTGTGTTTGCTGAATATTTTCTTCTAAAAAATCAAATTTGATACATATGTAATGTGTTTTCTATGTAAAATAAGTTGTTAATGCAAGATATTTTTTGACTGCAGAAGTTTCACATTTGTCATCTCTTCTTTTCAGCTGGTATCCTTACCATTTAGTAAGTGCACTGAGAATAGAAGAACAAGTGTATGCCAGGCTATGCAAATCTTGTGGTATAAATCTTCCAAAATACATGCTGCTTCCAAATGTCTTTAGCATCTTAAAATAAAAAAGACCAAAACCAAAAGCAAAACAGAATAAAAATATATGTGTACAGTGTAACAGAAGCAATGGAGACTATAAACCATCTTGATACTTCTACTGTGCTGCTGTTAATTTTTTTGTTCAATGTATCAGAAAATACTCTTAAAATTTATAAAACATTATCTGGGGAAATGAAGTTCCATTGAAATCTATAAGAGCACTTTTACTTTTTTCATAATGAGCTGAATATATGATTGTATTTTCAAAACTAAAAACAAAAAAATGAAAATAATATAAAAACCAAATACAGAACTGCTATTTAAATCTCTTCAGTGGAATTTTCTTGGCAAGAAATCTGTTTTCTTTCTCTTATTTAGCAGCTTTACATTTTTTTTAGATGTTCTTAATTAAAAAAATAATCCTTCCCTCCCCCACCGCTCCCCCTGCCTTCCCATCAGGCTCTGGGTCTCATGCTTTTGGAATTTGTCTTGTGGCTTTTGTTGACAGAAAGAGTTTATTTGGTGGTTTTTTTCTCAGTAAAAATAGAATTATTCTTTTGTTTTAAATGATTGTAGAATAAAAATGCCCCATCCCTGGAAGTGCTCAAATCCAGCATGGAAGCAGCTTTAAGTAACCTGGTCTAGTGGCAGGTGATCCTGTCCATGGCAGAAGTGTTGGAAGTAGAGGGTCTCTAATGTCCCTTCCAACCCAAACCATTTTATGCTTGTATGGTTCTATGTAATCGACAGAAGTAATGGATTCTTTTTTTCACGAGGTGGCAGTATTGGACTGAACTGCGTGGTTGCAAGGTTTTCTTCCTCTGGAGTATGTTTTGCATCATTACATGGTATGAGTATCAAAAAAGGAGAAAACATATTATTATAGATACAATTTAGATATTGTTATAATTTATGCAATTGATTTGCTTCTTTCTCTTCGTGTGCAGCTTATAGATGAATCACTGGAAAATAGATCAGCTCTCTATATATTTTCTTTGTATCATTTACCAGAATGTATTTGACCTGCATTTGATGTGATAATAGACCATTTAGGTGAGGATTAGGGTGGAATGAATAAGAGTATGGCCTCTCCATATGGATATTCCTTTTTCCCGTAGTGTCTATCAATTTTTTTTTTCTATGAAAAGTAAGTTTTGGGTCACATAACAACAGATGTGCTCTTAAAGAGCAAACTGCCTTGGTTGTGTTAAGTGCCAGATACAAACTGATGGCATAGGTACCATCCAATGTAGTAATTCTGGGAGAAAACATGTGGGCTGGAAGTAATGAAAACCACTGCTACTTTCCATATCTATGCA